AAAATTCTCCGCACCATAGCCAAGCAAACAGCCAGTTCTGCTGCTGCTGCTGCTGCTGCTGCTGCTGCTGTTGCTGGAGAGGAGGATATACAGAACCATATCCCGCATGAAGGCAGCAGCAGCAAGCCAACCGAGGAAGAACTTGCAGAGGCTGCTGCAACCTATTCACCGCCTGTTATCTCTCCGTTGATGCAGATGATACGGCTGCACAGCTACCTAAGACTTCAAATTCGTCCGCAGCAGCGCGCGCCCTCGCTAGCCGAGTGGCAACGGCAGCAGCAGCAGCGCAGTGCTCAGAGGAAGTCCCCACACAAACCAACTTCTCCCCTTTCGCCAGCAGAAAACGAAGACCCCATGAGTGTGAGTCTACATGCATGCATGCATCCATGCATGCATTCATGCATACATGCATGCAAGCTTGTGTTGACGGAGGCATGCTGTATACACTGGCTGTACGCTGCACCCCTCTTTCTCCCACCACCGCACTGGGCGACCACCGCATGTGTTTGGGCTTGTCTCTCTGCTGCGTGCACTACTGCTGTGTTGGTATTTGTTGTTGCTTGCACTATAACTTATACTGTATTTATATGTATATGTAGCGTTGTTTGCGAGTTGTGTTGCATAGGCTGCCCCGGAGCTGCCGTCGACGCAGCTGGAGATGGGGGGCCACGATGAGTATGACCGCGTGAATAAGCTGGCAGACGAAGTAGAGCAACAGCTGATAGATTCACCGCAAGAAGAGAGTGAGAATATGAGTGCATCATCATCGGGCTCTGGAGCTGACTATACACCCCGGCTTAACAGCGCGTATCCCTCATCAGCTATTCCAAAACCCAGAAACTTCTATAACTACTTTGGTGATGATACTGTTTCTCTGCTTGAAACAAACCCCGATGAAATCCTATACAAGTTCGCCGGCGGCAGCGCATCGACGGATACTGAACTCTTCGTACCCCTACAGCTAGACAGCCAATCGGCTGCAGCTTCAGCTGCCTCTTCTTTAAACTTACAACCCTAGACCTTTGTCTCCCCTAAACTTCCTTATATATATATATATATATATATATATATATATACATGTGTGTGTATATATAGGTACGTATGTATGTGCATATAGCAATCAACGATACCCTATAGCCCTAAGTACTATTCATCGCCTCGACTGTAGCAGCTGATAGATGCAGAAACTGATGCAGAAAAAGATGCAGAAACAGATGCAGAAATATATATATATATATATATATATATATATATA